AAAGGTTCTATGACCCTGTGTTATGGTGGTACTGAGAACAACACCAATTAAGAGGTGTTTCCACGCACCCCAAAGCATCACGATCTGAGGTCTTATTGTCGAATGTAGTTTATCGTTATACCTAGGATGTATATATATATATATATATATATATATATATATATATATATATATATATATATATTTCCGGAGTTGTTTTTTTCTGTTTTCTTTTTGAATTTGTAGGTCTGATGAATTGGATCGTATATACGATTCCAATGGAATAAATTATGACCATGGAATATTAGTGTTTAAACCTTTTTATTATATCCTTACTCTGTCCTGGACATTGAGTTCTACCTGGATTCTATCCTCTTGGATATTTTTTATTAAAAAATTATGCATGTATGTGTATGCACCTATGTATATATATTTATATATTTTGCATATGTATGTGTATATTTAGCACTAATATTAGCTATATATATATATATATATATATATATATATATATATATATATATATATATCTACTAACCAATCTATATATATATATATATCTATCTACTAACCAACATATATATATATATATATATATATATATATATATATATATTGGTTAGTAGATAGATAACTATAAGAAAATGACTTATATATTTTTTTAAAATGAATACATTATATTTTAATCCGACATTTTTATTACATCATAAATTAAGTAAACCAAAACTTTCTTGTCTCTAGTCGTCGGATCTGATAAGGCCATGTGGAGGTGTCACTTAAAGCATAACAGCCGAAATTATCTTTCTGTTTACGGAGATGAAAGAATACTTGGAATGAAATAAAACGTGCAGAAATAACAGGAAAAGCATAGTAAAGGTTATGTTCATTTCATACAATTTATTTATATTTTTCTTGTGCTCGTAATTTTTACGTTGCAGTTTTTTTTATAGTATATGTGATAAAAGGGAGAATTTACTCCGTAGTAATACACGCCATATAACAAATAGAAGTCTAATACGTGTTGCCGTACCAATTTTTTGGTGAAAAGATTGAATTTGATGTCTTTTGGTGGGATGTTTTATTACCGGTAGGAATAGTATTTGTTGCATCCTGGGAGTATTTTTATTATTTTTAATTTTTATTTACCTTATTTTATACAACGTTTTTATTTTATTTTATTTATAATTTTCATTATTATTTTTTTTATATTTTATTTTTATTTATTTATAATAATAATATTCCTACAGCCTCTCTTATCATAGAAAATCCCAACAGATTTTCCTCAAACACTCAAGAAAGAAAAAGGTGTCCTTCAGAGTACAAATATAAATATTCTTGTTTGTGGCGCTCTCCGTGGCCGATCGGTGTAAGTCGCACCTTATCAAATGATGGTTTCTTTTACAAAGGAGGACGCAGATGTAAACACTGTCGGGCAGCACATTTTAATTTATTTATTTTCCCCGAGAGCGCATGACGATATATATAATACCTACTGAGGGCTTGCATTACAAACACACGTGTCCTATAAAGATAACGTTTCATTTACACACACACACATACACACACACACACATGGTGGACTTGGGCACCTCGAGGTGGGGCAATAGTTAGAAATCTTGCGCACTACATGCCACAAAGTCCCCAAACAACCTCCCGCAGGTTTTGAATTTAGTGCTGTCCTTCTCCTAGACCAATTGCCAGCCAAGGCTATAGAAACCAGGCTGTCTTGGTAATTACTCATAGCTGGAGGGATAAGTATGTTATCGCAAGGGTTTTAGCACGTAAGTGAATGCAATGGATTCGACTGGAACTTAGTCTAATATATATATATATATATATATATATATATGAAAATAATGATGGGAAAATAATTTTACATAATGTAAATGATTCTAATACATTTACTTGTTTTTAAAAAGAAATATAGTATATTAAAAATTAAAAGTGAAAATATTTTTAAAATCGTAGATAATAAAACGTATTCTAACCTAAAATAGAAAAAAAATGCCTTAAGAATTTTTGCCGTTAAAAATAAATTAAAAAAAAAATCCAGACGACATGCATTTAACGGATGTCAGAATTCATTGAAAAATACATCCCTACCCCTACCAAAACGTAGCTAATAACTGATACATCAAAATACAGCGATAATGAACACGCAAACATCCCTTTTCTGGATGAATGGATTTCTCTGTATCCTGAATTAAGATTTTTTGCTGTACCTCTAAAACCCATTAATTTTAAAAATAAGTTACTCTAACTAATGTCTTTAATTTAATTACAAAATTAAATTCGAAGCTTTTAGCTTCCATTTTTGAAACATGGTTAAAACTGTGTAGCGAAAAAACATATTTTAAATCAATTAATTTAGAATATATATATGTATATATCGGAAAAGGTATGGATCCTCTCCTTCTCCCTCAGCTATGGATATATAGCAGAACAGACAAGGTTTATGCGTGGCAAACGGTCTAGATGAAGAAAAATTCTGAATTCAAACCGGACTGGGGAGGATTAGTCTCCGTCAGGCTATCTTGCCTAGGAAACACCTCTTAAACTGGTGTCTCTACGACTCTAATAGGCCACGGGATTCGCGATCGAACGCGATATATGATAAGACGCAATTAGCGTACGTGACTTGTGCTGCGCTTGTGTTATTCAGGTTAGAATATAAGAGAAAAAGGGTGGAAGGAAATTCGTTTGGACTTAGAATTGTATTTTTTTGTTTTATATATATTTGTATATTGGTGTTTATTGGATCTTAAATCAGCCTTCACTTCATCATCTGATTTTGGCGATGATCAGTCATATTATGTATGGTCCTTGTCTTAGCTTCATAGTCGAGAATTTTAAGATTAATGCACTGTCAATGCATTTTTATCATAGTGAATCCTTTTTTTGCCTTGATGAAACTGATAGTTATTAAATTAAAATTGCGTTGAGATGTGTTTCGCTGAGATACCTTTGCGTTTAATGTGTTTTCCTGCAACATACTTATGAGATTATCATAGTATTTATAAATTTATAATCTGCGTTTTTATTTCGGATACTGTTATATATATATATATATATATATATGTATATATATATATATATATATATATATATATATATATATATATATATATAAACATATATATGTTATATATATATGTATATATATCTATATATATAAACTATGAATAAATCCACAATGTGCTAACCGTATTCGGAAATTAAAAAACATCCCTAAGACATACACATAACGCACACACTCAAGTAAGCTGAAAAATCAAATCATCCTTGATAATGGCTAAAGGTATAGCCGAAAGCAGTCGGAAATATAAAACATTTGAACAGTTCTTACACACCCTTTGTCCAGAAAAGAAAGCTCTTGTTAGAACACAAGAAAAATTAAATAAAAAGCTTAACCGTAGTACCGTGTCTGTCGTTTTAATGAAACTTGCATATATATATATATATATATATATATATATATATATATATATATATATTAATATGCCTATACAAATAAGATGATTAGTTACAAATATATATATATATATATATATATATATATATATATATGTGTGTGTGTGTGTGTGTGTGTGTATACATATATATATATATATATATATGTGTGTGTGTGTATGTATACATATATATATATATATATATATAAATATATATATATATATATACACGTATATATATATATATTGACTAATACATAGATAGATAGATAGATAGATAGATAGATAGATATGAACAGCTAGACAGAGAGATATAAATAAAGAAAATAAATGTTATATATGTGTCTATATTTCTGAGATGAGGTATTATGTACACTATTTACATTATTCGGAGTACCATCCTCTTCTTGTGGCCATATTTTCACAACGTATCGGCCGCTGTGTGCACTGGCTTTCTTCAGGTGGTTGAAATATCGAACTGAACACTTATTTCGCTCGTTGGATTAGACTGTTCTAGTGGAGAACTTGGATAGGGGAATTAACAGGAGATAACTGATAACTGACATCCATTAGACGTGGTACGTGGAACTAGAATAGTCTATCCCAGCGAGCGAAATAAAGGGTTCAGTTCGACATTCCAACTCGTTCGCCTTTTATCCTTTCATCAATCCCCCTATACCCCATCTTTTCTCTCACTTTTACACTTTGTAACCCCCCACCCCGCTGCATACTAGTGGCATGCCAGCCTTGCTTGGAGTGAATTGATTAAAGGAAAATGATTTGTTCATAAAGTTTTATACCCCTAACGTATAGATAGAATTATATGCACATATTTACACGTGTTCGACTCTGAGAATATTTAACAAAGGTATGCAACAACAAGTAGAAGGAAAATGAGACGATATTGAATGTCTTACTTGCGATAATTCCCAACAGGAATTCGAGAGGCTGGAGGTCCCTTCTACGTTCCTGGAGAAGCCGTATTTATCCAAACAGGCAAACGAGCGGGGCGCATTTATCTGCTATTTCACTCACGTGTGCATATTTTCCTGACAAGAAAACAGCGAATCATGGGTATTTAGCGCATTGAGACTCCAAGCAGGAGCCAGTCCGTTATGTGTCCTGCGTGATACACTCTTAGGCGATCATGTATTTTCGATACATGACTGACGAGGCAGATTTTATCTCGCAGTAGGTTGCCATTTTAATTTGCAGTAGACCAGTTTCATCCCGCTCTGTCCTGCTATTTACCCATAGCTGCGAAAAAAGAAAAGGATTCATACCTTTCACAATTGTATTAGCACGTAAATGAATGTAATGGATTCGAACTAGTCTGTCTGATACCTCAATCCGAGCCGCTGTCCATTACTCCAGCATACCTCCCAGCCGGAGATAGTTTCTCTATCTGGTGAAGAAGGCAAACGGCTTATGAGCGGCTGCACGTGGCAGCTGGATGGCCATGGCAGTGCTATTGGCTCGCCTGTGCGTACGAACAACACGTGTGTCTTGACTTTAGGCAGTTAACAGGCGAACTAGCTTAATTTTGTCCCTCTATGAGGGGGCGTGACAATGCGTAACTTCATCTCAACAATCGTCTGATAGACTATAAATTGTCAGGGTAGATCTCAAAAATAAATGTTATATAAAATTAAATGTGTTTTCATTTTCATTTGCTTATAATTTTTTAAATGTTGCATTACTTTGAAGTCATATATCTTTACTCTTTCTTTTTAAACAGCATCCAATCTCATTTTTTTTAATTACCTGCTTTCCCTCACGGTACCAATTATTGGTTTGCTTTGGTTCGGTTTGATTTAGAGCATATCAACCTCAATGTGTTACTTAACGCCTACAAGACTTTTATTGCTGGAAATTTTTTTTTCAAAAATATATTGCTGGTATATTTTTTTAATGTATAGCTGGAATTTTTTTCCTCCAAAATGTATAGCTGGTAATTCTTTACAAAGTATTTCTGGTATTAAAACCTATTAAAGCCATTTTTACACGTTCATATTGTTTTGACCCCGGTTTGGGGATTAACTATTTACCCATAGCAGGGACCCCCTAACAGGTGCTACCTCCCGGATCAGTTTGGACCTGGAAACACTAGCAATTAAAAGGTGGATCCTCGCTCCTCAAAATCTCCTGATCAGAGGCCTTGCTATTGGACGTAATTTATAGTCTTACCCAGGATGCTGATGTAGTTTATCGTCATACTCAGGACGGTCGATGCCAATAAACTGTGGATATTTGAGGCTATGCTGATGCCATAGGTATTCATACTTGGAATAAGAATCGTTTTGAATACAGAACCATCTTTCAATTTTAAGAGAACTGAAGGTAAAACATTCCAAATCATAATCTGGAATTGGCGTGCAAAGCATACCTTGAATCCGCTAAAAGATTTCAGGATGTAGAATTAGTAAATTAATGCACACACCGAGGTATTTGATACGTTTATTATTTACTAATGAACACACCGAGGTATTTGAAGCGTTTATTGATATAACAAATGCTAAAGTTAAGAGATAAAAAAAAAACTGGAAATAGTTTTCACTTGGGATAGTATCTCCCAAAACCGGAAGTTGCTACAAAATGAAAACGTTTATTTGAATACGTGAGGCATGTTCTGTCTATATTTCTGAGATGAGGTATTATTTACAGTATTTACATTAGTCGGACTATTGTCCTCATCTTTGTCGCCATATTTGTCACAACGTTTCGGCCGTTTCTGAAGGACACATGGCACAGCGGATAAAGGCGTTGGTTAGATCCAGTGACAGACCCAAAGAAGGTGAGTTCAATACCTGGTTAAGGCAGTGGAGAACTTTCAGAGGGAAAATTAGCAGGAGATAACTGATAACTGACATCCATCAAACATGGCACGTGGAACTAGAACAGTCTACCCCAGTGATCGAAATAAAGGGTTCAGTTCGAAATTCCAACCACCTGAAGAAGGCAGGAGCGTACAACAGCCGAAACGTTGTGACAAATATGGCGACAAAGATGAGGACAATAGTCCGACTAATGTAAATACTGTGAGGCATGTTCTTAATTTTTCTTAAAATAATGAAATATACATATGGCTTTATTTTCTATCCTCATTTTAGAAATATTTAAACTATCTACTGTATTCAACAGTTTTCTCAGATCAATGGTTAAAATGACTGTGATCGAGCAAAGCCAATGGATCTTGGAGAAAACCACCTTTAATTGAATATTCTGGATTGGAGCTAGAGAATGTGAAGCAAGGAATTCTACCAGATATCAGAAACCACATCACCTAAGGACAAAAAATGAATATAAACTTTAACTCGTAGAGAAAATAATGGCATAATCAAGATGCTGATATTCCTCACTGCGTCAAACTAAACGTTTAAATGATTCTTTTTTATGGTTTATCAACCATTTCCTGTTTATTTAAAATCATGAAAATATTTTTTTTAGATATGTAAGTATATGTGGCACCATTTACCAAGGCAGAAAAAGAAAAGAAAGGAAAGAAAGGAAAAGAGAGGCGAAGACCCAAAGCGTGGATGATAAGCAGAACACCACGGCTAAGAGACAATGGATAAAGGATATTTTGATAAATAACAAATGGCGAAGAGTGTCATTACAATGAAAAAAATTCTGAGTGGATAAAGGAATCGGGTGTGTTCTGACGACGGGCTGTGTTATTGGGATACATAAACAAACCGCTAATGCGGGAAGGCATCTGATTGGCAAACCACAGACCGACTAGCTAAAGAAAAATCCAAATGAAAATGTTATTTTGATAAGTGACGAAAAACAGGTGGACTATAGGGCTTTGGATAGATATGAAAAATTAATTGTGTCAAAAGCCGCACACGAGGTGGCCACTGACCGATTTCTTTCGACAGAACATCTTTAGCCTGCGATAATAAAACTATGTTATCAGAAATGTGTACCGAAAAATGAATGGGAACCTAGAAATGTTTTTTTTTCGAGGCGACGGTCTGGCCGTGTTAAAAGACCACCCATTCGGATAATTAGCGATAAGATGACTGACGAAGCCCATGTGAGAACAAGAGTTGCACCACCATCGATCGTATTGTTCTGTTTGCGGCTAGAGAAAATGATAACTGCGATTAAAAGAAAGAAAGGAAAAAAAAAAGATAATTTTTTTTGTTAAGCAAGATATTTTTTTTCCTGAAACAAAGCCGCGAGATCGTACACGCCCGACTAGACATCATTGGTCGAGTGGTGATCACGTGACGCACGGAGGATGCTGTCACCGCCCATCTAGAGGATGGGTATGAGAGGTTGCAACGAAGAAGTTGGGAGGGCAGTTCACGCCCCTCTGAAGTGTGGTGAGAAGGTGGGAGTAAGAGAAGGCTCCCAAAAATGAAAAAAAAAGTGGAAAATTCCTAACCAGAAATAAAAGAGGTGGATATGTATTTAGAATTATCGAGGAGTTCCGGCGCCGACAAACCCACCCCGGTTTTGGTCGGCGTCCATATAAACGAAAGTCGCAGCGAGCAGAAATGAGTTCGAGTTAGAGTTTCAGCTCCAGTTCCAGCAGAGAGCTCGAAGTTCGCAGTGGAAGTTGGTTCCACCTCGCAGATAGCTGACTCGAAAGATTCACGCAAATTCCGGAGTCCTCTTCAATCCAAGAACAATTAATTTGAAGAGCGACTTAGATCCAGACCACCAAGATAAGTTTTTTTTCGACTTTCGCCCGAAGACATACCGAAAAAACCATTTCTTAAAGAGCAACAACTTGAAGCGTTAAAACTCACCAGATTCCCATCCGAATCACAAAAAGGTTAGAACGTCACATTTGGGTGCCGCGACCGATACCAAGCCATTTGGTCGTCACAGGACGAGACAACACGACTGACACGATAGGCGGACGTCACGTTTGGAGCGGCGACACCCGAACGGAGCAGCGGGGAGCGAGCGAAGGCTGCGTTTAAGGACGTCGCAGCTGACGCCGCGACCAAAGGACGTCACATATATTTTTGAGATAATGATATCCTTTTAAAAGACATACAAATTAACCCATAGCTGGAGTAAGGAGAAGCGGATTCATATCATTCAACGGTTTGAAAATAAATAAAATTGCACAGCGGGAATTGGAACTCGGCCCTCCGATTTACAATTCCAAGCCAGTATCCATCATACATACAAGCTTGCTGCACCTGGTATTCCCAGACGTACCCCCATCTAGGTACTGACCATTTTTGAGGTTGCTTAACTTCAGTGATCGTACGAGAACTGGTGTTTCAACGTGATTTGACCACAAGCCAGACTGGCTGAAGGCGTCATCTACTTCCTTGAGCCGTACATTGAACTTGATGGATCGGATATATGAGTTCCACTTGAAGGCGGGAAGGAACTCAAGTTCCGAAAGACGCTCAAAACCAGGATCTACATTGCTTAACTTCGTTGATCGTACAGGTAACGGAAACAACATTTTCGGAATGTCGTCGATATAAATACTGGAAATTGCGATGACAGTTATTGGACTTGAGAAATTACCTGAAGAATTGTTTGAATGGAAAATATGTATTAATTTCAATCGACGGTATTAGCTGTTCTGTTGAAGAATGCCAAATTTTTCCTTATAAGAGAAGAGCTAATATTACCATTAACATTTGAATCTCACTTTTACCACTTTCCTTCACTAGGTTCGTTTCAATTATCTCCCTTTAATTATTTGTTTCTCTATCTCCTATTTTACTTCTTTAATATCTCTGTTCCCCCGTTATTCTCTTTTTATCTTTCTTTTACCTCACGTAATTTCTCTACTCTTACTTCCACTCTTTTCTTCTCATTTGTTTTCTGCACTTCCCTCATCCGATTGTCTTTTTTGCTCTCTTCCATCTGTTCATCAACATAATTTCTCTCCCCACCCCAATCTCTCTCTCTCTCTCTCTCTCTCTCTCTCTCTATCTATCTATCTATCTATCTATCTATCTCTCTCTCGGTATATATTTTCCTTTCCTGTATCCGTCTTTATGTTACTTTCATCGTTTCACTCTCTTTTCTTCTATCTCTTTCCTTTAAACTATTCCTTCCGATTATTCTGTTTTCTCATTTCGCTCTCTCTTTACATTAGTTTATTCTCGCTATATGAAATAATACCCTCTCCCTCTCTTTCAATCTCTCTCCACTTCTCCCTTTCTGTGTTTTTCCTTTCCTTTTCTCTGTTTCCGTCTGTTATGCTGAGTTCTGCGGCTCGCTTTTTCCTCGCTAGTTTCATTCTTTCATTGTGTTTTCTTTTGTCTCATTTCGCAAAACATTGTTATCGCCATTTTCTCTTCTTTTTTCTTTCTCTGATCTCATTCTGCTGTTCTTTTTCACACTCTGATTTTTGTTTCTCTCATTTTCTTTCCTATCTATTTATCTAGTTTTCGTTCTCTTTTCTATTGACACAACTTCTTTCTTTCTATGTTCTGCAATATATATATATATATATATATATATATATATATATGTGTGTGTGTGTGTGTGTGTGTGTGTGTGTGTGTGTGCACGTGTGTGTATGAAGTGATGGTATTGATTGCCGAACAGATATATATATATATATATATATATATATATATATATATATATATATATATATATATATATATATATTGAGCACACACACACATATATGTTCTGCTATCAACATCATCACTTGATACGTACATATATATATATATATATATATATATATATATATATATAAATAGATAAATACATAGATGGATACATAGATGGATAGATAGATACAGATACATGTATATATATATATATATATATATACAGATATAGATAGATAGATAGGTATCACCATCACTTGATATATATATATATATATATATATATATATATATATATATATAAAATAGATAGATACATAGATGGATACAGATGGATAGATAGATACAGATATATATATATATATATATATATATATATATATATATATAGATACATAGATAGATATCACAATCACTTGATATATATATATATATATATATATATATATATATGCAACTCAATCAACACCATCACTTAATAAGACACCAGAAGAGTTGAAACAAAATAGCTATTGATGTAGTGATGTTATAACAAGTTTACCTTGTAATTTTTGTATAAATACTATATATATTAAATTAAAATAAAGCAGATGGCATTAATAAATAAAAAAAATCCCTTCTTAAAATACGTTTGTCTACTTTAGGATACAAAATTATGTATATTTCGAGAATCGGGAAAATATCAGTTTTGTCTTGACTACAGTTTCCCTGTAGACGACAGATCTGATAAAGTTTTCTCCTAAGGGAACGCAGGTTCGAATCCTGCCATATAGCGCATATTTTTCAAATAAGCTTTCTCAAATATTCAACCTGGTAGATGAAAATAAATTAAATACAATTTTTAATAAATAAACATAACATCTACTCAAATACGGTTTCCCACTATAAATAACGTTTGAGTAATGAAAATCTCTATATATATATATATATGCGTGCTTTTCTTTCTTGTTCTTTTTTTATCCCTAGTTCCTTCTCAATATGCTACTTTCAAGATATTTTAATGTAGGAATCTCTTCCCCTTTTGCCTTTTGATATCATGATGCTCTTCTCTCTATATTTTCTTGCCTCTCGCTTCTTCTTGGATTCCTTCTCACGATTCCTCTCTGTGTTTCGATTCACTCTTTACTTTCCTCCTCTCTCTTTCTCTCTCTCTCTCTTTCTCTACCGGTGTCATGCAAACACTGATAAAGAGATGTGTGTGGGTAAGGAAGATTGTGAATGGAATAGCGGGAGAATGATAGGTCGAAAAATGGTAAGGAAACTCTTGGTGTATTCAGAAAGGCCAACCTCGACGACCCTTATGACCCGATTGGCGAATTTTGAAGACGCGGTTTCTCTCTTGCAATGACAGTTTTGAGATAAGGCTGACGAGTCGAAGCCTTCCTGGCGTGAACCAGTTCCTGCGATTGAGACAGCTGTCAAAAAGACATAAAAATAAAGACATAACGAAGAAAAAGGCAAAAGAAAAACTCCCTCGAGTCTGGAGCAAGAGTTGGAGAAGACATTAGGGAAAGTTTCAAGAAACGGTCAGTGGTTTTTCAGACCAGAAAAGGAAAAAATAAGAAGGTGGGTGGGGCTCGTGTTTGGAATAGACGGACTAGAAATGTAAAGTTGCGAAAAATATTTAGACGAAAATAACGTAAATGTCCGACAAAATAAACAATTATCATACAAAAATGTTAGCAGAAGTTTTTGATACTGCAGTTTTCATGAATACGGACAGGGATCTTTTTTTTATTATTTAATAATATTCACTTGTTAAAGCCATAACAGCCACTCGAGTTATAAAGTTAATCAATACGGTTTTTGTAAGGTCGAAGTGGATGTATAAACTCTGATTTTATATTAAATTTAACGGTTGGCGTCAGAAAGATCGGTGACTTTTCGTCAAAACATGTATCAGATTCAAGGGAGTATTTCTTTAGCAGCATTCTTAGTTAGGTCGCAGAAAACACCAATTCTTATTCTCTAGCCGAAATGAAGAATTTTCTACCCCGGTACATAAATGGGTGACTGCTTTGGAACAATACTACAATTCAAAATATGTCTACTCTTTAAATAACCCACTATGGGTTAAACCATAAAAATCTCAAATATATCAACCATGCTTCGTTATATTATGTTCTGTCTTTTTGACAGCTGTCACAATCAATGGAACTGGTTCACAACACGAAGGCTTCGATTCTTCAGTCTTATCTCAAAACTGTCATTGGGAGAGAGAAACCGTGTCTTCATAAATCGCCAATCTGCTCATAAGGTTCGAAGAAGTTGACCTTTCTGAATACACCAATAGGTTCCTTACCATTTTTCGACTTAGCATTCTCCGTTATTCCATTTCCAATCTTGAGGAGGTTAAAATTGAAGCCACTGGAGTATCATCCGCGTGGATGTCTGCTCCAAAAAGTAGAACGTATTGGAAAGGATCTGTCCGAAAAGGACTTCGTTCATAGCAATAAAAAAGGAAGAGAATGCAGCTGATTCGACTCTGTGTACGTTGCAAGGTGGATTTTAGTAGTAAAAGCCTGAACTGGAAGAACTAAGGCTTGCAGCTCGTCAAAATCTTCCCAATGAAAGTTGCAATAGATTATAGAAATGCTGTGGAAAAGAGTTTACCAGCTGTAAAATAATTCATCCCTTGTAAGGCTGAGTAAGTGTCTTGAAAATATATCAAAAATGAGAATTATGTGCATTCAGATTAGTTGTGGAAGCAATGCTAGACATTTTTAGTATGATCAGCTTCATAAAATAGCGCCTGACTTGATTAATAACTTCGACCGGTTTTAAATATGAATTAAGCTTAAGCGACTAATGATTTTTTATTTATTTATTTTAGATTTAACATTTTAAATCCCTGGCAATGTCAACGATGGAAAGATTAACAGTCAAACAACGCGTTCAAGTTATCGAAGCCTATTACGAATATGGACGTTCAAACAGAAATGCATTTCTCTCAATTCGCGATTTTTTGGGTCAACATAATCGACCAACCGAGAGTGCAATTGGAAATGATGTAACGTTGTGGTGGAAAGTTTCAATTCCTGTGCGCGATCAGGAATAGAGGGGTCTGCATTTTCGGCCACATTCTCGCGCACTGTTTTTAGCTGAACGGCGTAAACCAGCACGCAATGTTGTTTTCACATCTGCCACCGGCACTGTTTGAATTTACGAACAAATTTTCCAACTGCACTCTTGAAACATTGACACATTGTTTGATTGTTAATATTTCCGTGGTTGAAATTGCCAAAGACTCAAGTTGTTAAATCTGAAAGAAAAAGAAAAAAAAAAGATCATTAGACGCTTAAACTGAATTCTCATTTAACATCGGTCCAAGTTATTGGAAGACCCGTGGGTGTTTCATTATGACGTCTCAAAGTCAGCAGTAAATAAATCAATGTTATTGGTAAAAAATTATTTATTTCTCTATTGGATCGTGTTATTTAAGTCATGGCAATTATGTGTGAAAAATAATATTGTCAAAATGTCCGCCGAATCTGAAAGAAAAAAAAAATCACGAGACACTTAATCTTAATTTACATTGAAAATCGGTCCAAGTTATTGGAACACTCTTTACATCATGACAAAATAAAATCAGGTTCTTTTCAGTGATGAGGAAATATTATTCATGTTATTTAGATGTATTGAATTCTACAAGACAGTTTTTTCCTATTAAACTAGGTCAGAGGAGAGATCAGCTCTACGCTCTGTTTTTCTAGAATATTGGACGTTCAACGTGGTTTCTTTGAACAATCCATGGTTTGTTTTTCTTCAGTAATTGTTTCTAGAATCTCTCAACGCTAGTCACCTGTATTAATATAAAGCACTTATATTTTCGGGGAGGTTTTTGATTATATGTAAGTGACCAGTAACGAACAGTATTTCTAAATATTTTCTTTTTTAATCAGTTAACCCCAACGAAGGCGATAACGCCACTAAGCCGCAATGCTTATTTGAATAGAAAGAGCAGAAAATGTCTTCAGAAAGAACGGATAAAAACATTAAAAGTATAAATTTAGTCTTTATGCGGAAATGTCCGACGTATAAAGTTTAGACGGACTGTATAAGGAACAAGAAACTGAATACTAAACAAGAAACAAGAGATAAACTTCTACTTCTGTTCAAAAACATCGGGGAGCAGTCTGAACCGGACTAGTCCACCTATCTACTCGTTCATAATGGCCTGATGTGCTTAGACTAGATGTAAATACACTGTTTTATACACTGGAATAATTAATTCTTGTGTAATATCAATCTTACTTCACATATTAAATGTTTGATAAGTCCTTCAACGATGAATAGGAGACGAAGAAACGGAAATCTGGTTCTACGGAAAAAATACTGGGAGTTCAATGGATGAAACATTCGCGCAATGAGAAGTTTGCAAGGAAAATGAGAGCAAAAAGTAGACGCGTATGACTCAATAATCATAAAATGCTTGGAGAATATGACACTCACAGGTCATATTGTATGTAAGAGACGTTGAAGCTAACAGCGATCAACCTGTTTATCGAGCTTCTATAATGGATTTCAAAGAGAGGGAGAATAAGTGGTCAAACATCGCTTAATAATACAATGAATTAGAAGTGCTGGAACCCAGGATCACCCACTCTAGACACGGCACATACAAAAGATGATGGCGTTTTATGTTCTCTAATGAGATATATTTCTAAAAAAGATCTACTTTTTCTACATGCCACGTCCCTTTATGATTTGCTTGATCATGTCCTTCCACAGCTTCCTTCACTTTGTAGCTCTTAGTAAATTTTGCCTTTGTGCTATCTCTCCCAGTTAATGTTCTCTCAACCATTTACACAAAATCGGTAAAA